GGGTTATACCCTAATAATGGAGAATCAAATGGAATTTAGAATTGAACGCAGCTCGAGCGTACTCTGAGCGGGGCGGGCACTCCTGACCCTTCACTCCGCGGATTGGTGAAAAGACTGAATGGCGAATATCTCCGTAGCCAAGCATAAAACACTGAAGCAAATGGCAAAAACAAGCAAACGGAATGAGGCATACTTCAAATCATACGACGACAAAGAAAGAAAAGGAGACTTCAGTCCAAGTGCAAGTCCGCTGACCCCCCTAGCTGCCCCGTCCCCGACAAAGTCGGTCGTAGGCACACGAGACCTGCAATAAAATGGAAAATGAAATGGAAACTGACATGGAAATTGGGGATATAGTGGTTTAAAGTTTCCCAAAATCAGGGGTACCTTTTTTGGGGTCCCCATAACAAGGACGAAAGTGTTTTAGGAGTCTATAGTGGGGTTCCCTTATTTAGTGAAACTGCCACTTAAATCAAGGAGGGAATATAGTACATCAGGGTCCATGTGTTTCTTTTTAGGTATTAGGCAAGGAATGGGAATTTGGCTACCAGAATATGGCCAATAAGAGGGTTTCCTTATCGTAGTAACTTAGTTTAAGGTCCTTAACAGCAACCCAGGATTTCTGCGTGGGCTCGGCAGAACCCAAGCTGCATTCACATCTGGTGGATTGCCATAACTGGGGGTACCTGTTCCCATAATGAGCATTATACAGTAGCATATTGGGGTCTATATTGGGGTCTCCCATTGATGGAAAGTCCCATTTCTTTTCAGGAAATTAGAAACATCCTGAGCTCCATTGCATCCGTAGGTCATCCTTGATAACGCAGTTGTCTTTTCCGTATCGGCGTATCGTTGGGAGACCCAGTCCATGACCCTGCCTGCCTTACAAGAGCTATCTTTAAGCGTTTCGCCAACGCCCCCCTGAACCCTAAACCCCTAAACTCCAAATCCGAAACCCCAGCCTGCGGGGTTGTAAAAAAACACTTGAGTAGTATTTTATTTGGGGATACTATGGTACCCAATATAGTATAGAGTAAGATTACATCCTCCTTTTGGGATATAGTATTTTGTACAAGGAGTATTATCTTACTGGGTTTTACCACCAAAAAAACACTACTCACTTGGCCCCTTTCTAGGAAGTCCTGGCAGCACGCGCTGGCCCTCTTCAAGGAATTCTGCAACCTCGGTCCAGAGCCCGATGGCCTTATCGTCTCTTTGGCCCTTTGGCACATTTGAGCTATAGGGTTTAGGGTTTAGGGTTTAGGGTTTAGGGTTTAGGGCTTAGGGTGTAGGGTTTAGGGCTTAGGGTTTAAGGGGACTATTTAAGTTATTCAGGGGGATGCTCGGAGTTTAGACTATCCTGTAGCTCATTTGCCAGACAAGGGGCTTGGCAAGACTATGCAATCCCTTCCTTGCCTCTATGCAAAGCAATTAGGGCAACATTTGGCTATGATCTTCGCTTTGAGTAAATTGCAGGGGGACTGTACTGTTGAGGAATGGTCACAAGTTTGCTCCTAACACCAGTCCAGTCGTAATGGGAAGTTCGGTGCAATCAGGCGCACAAATAATCGCACCTTCAATGGTAAACATGACGGTACTAGTAGCAATGATGGTAGGCTGGTTTACGACGAGATTGAGTATTCTTGTTCAATGCAGAGGGCTCATGTGCTTAGCATCTGAGGTAGTAGCAGTGCTCAGATCTCCTACGTCCCAGACTCCTAGAGCCCAAACCCTCCAATCACAAATCCTGAATTCCCCAGCCTCTAACTCTAAACTTTCTACATTCTCAAGCCCCAAACCTTACACGCTCGCCAGGCCGTTTCCGCTTGTGGCCGCTGGCCAAGCGCGTTGGCTTTGTGCGAGGACGCAGCGGCCCGTGGCATCGAGACCAGGCAGAGGGGTTCCAACACGGGCTTGGTTTAGGGTTTAGAGTTTAGGGTGATATAGGGTTGTATAGGATTGTATAGGGTTTGGCTAGGATTATATGGGGATAACCTAGGGATATATAGGGGGTGTATAGGGATGATCACAAAGACAATGGAAGCTACTATTTGGTCTTCAAACAGGGTGCTTTGAGTAATCGTAGGGGTATACAAAGATAATCAGAGGATTTTGCGTATTTGACAAGGATTATTTCAAGACTGTTTTTTGGCGATACAGTAGGTCACTTTCTGGGCATAGCCTCCTCCAAAGAGGGTAGGTTTTCTCAAGCTGTCGTCTGAAGCATATTTAGACAATTCAAGCAATTTCCAACTTAGACAATTTCGGACTTGGAATGAGGCGCAGGGATGATGCCCAGTAATGGCTGCATGGCAATCCTGTCACTGTCAGCATTTCTCTCCGGTACCGACATCCACACTGCTCTTTCCAGGCCTGGGCGCACTGCCGCTCTGGGCACGTTATTGAACTGTTGGCTCCAAGCGCTGGTGCTGGTTGACGAAGAGGCCAGCGCTTGAGAACTGCTTCGTATCAGTCTTGTAGATCGCCACTGACTTGAGCCGAAGAGTCGTGAAGGCTTCACCAGGCTTGCGTCTTTGCTGTTTGCAGGCTTTGGGCATGCCTTGACCACTGAGCAGGCTGATGTTGACGCCTGCAATGCAGCAGCTGCTGTGGCCACTTCCTTGCAACAAGTACTGACGATGAGATTGCGCTATAAGATTGCGCGCTGTCAGCCGCCAGGGTAGAATTATTGCCAATACTCTCCTCCATGAGGTTGGCCGCGCAGGGAAGTGGTGCCAGGTGGAGGCGTTGCTCGCTCCTTTGGCGCAGAAGGCCGTGGAGCCAGACTCCTTCAGTCGCACGGGCCCTTTGCTCTGCATTATGAATGTTCGGGATGCAAGAACTGTGCTGGAGAGGCACTGCTTCGGCCACCCAGGAAACAGAGCTTTTGCGTGTTGGCACTCTTTAACAACCAAGGACTCATGGTCAGCCATTCCAAGGTGAAGCGATGGGAGGCAGCCCTAGGCTACTTCAGAGACGAGGCCGATACTTTCGAGTTCAACGTGGCTTTGCAAGCCTGCGCTGTGGGAGCGAAACCTGGGTGGGCGGTGAAATTGCTACAAGACTTGCGCCAGTCGGGGCACGAGGCTGACTCGGTGTCGTGGACCACGACGCTTACAGCGAGTCGACGGCACTGGAAGTTGACTATGGGCTTGCTCACGCAGCTGCGCCGAGAACTACAGTGGCACTGGGGGAGGCTCAATGGCTTGCCTGAGGAAGCACTCGGGACATGTCACTTCAGCCTGCATCATACTCTCCGCAGCGCAACCAATGCAGCGCCGAGGCAACATTCACTGGACTTTGAACATTTGAGATAATTCCTCTTGTGAAGGCGGGTCCTAAGCATCATTTTCATGGTTCGCGGGGGCTATTCGACGTAAACTTACATCACATCCTTCAACTTGTAGCTTTGGACTAATTAGCAAGTGCAACGGAGTCTTCGATAGTTTGGCCACTGCTGGTTTCATGCGGACTCTTCAATCTCAAAGGCGCTGACATCCTGTGCCTTGCATCAGCGCTGGCAGCACTCCCTGGACTTGACAAAAGCTCTGGCCCGCTTCGCCACGCAGCCCAATCAGATCACCTACACGTCCTGCTTTGCTTCTTTCGGCGACTTCAGTCAAGCAGCCCCTCCCTGGAAACTCTGCCTGCAGCTGCTTTGGGGCTCCCTTGGTTTGGGACGCCACCAAAGAGATGCGTCTCTGCTTGCGGATGCGGCTGCCCGCTCAGCAGCACGCCAGTGCGAGCCTCGCCGTACGTATTTGAATGAAATGCCTGGGCAGTACCCTTAAGGAGATGGACACGTGAGGTTCTAGCAGAGGCGGCAAGAGCGCAGTGGGAAGAAGCGGGAGCTTTTCAGAATTGTCGTTTGATGATTCTGAGGAGTGGCAAGTTGCCTTGGTGCTGCTGGAAGCAAACTGGCGGGGCCCTCTGCAGGATGCTGCTCTGCACCTTGGCTCTGGCGAGAGAAGCTTTTGACATGAGCAGCATCTTTGAAGATTGTTGTTGAGCATCCGATCCCTGGTCGGCCAGATCCTCAACCTCCCTCAGGGGAGCAACTCCCAAAGGGTCATCCTATGCCCCGACTACACTCTACTGAGTACCGTGCACGTGCAAGGGATTCTAGCAGGCATGGGCGTTAAAAAAAACCCAGGGTGGCATTGACAAGCTACGTTGAGACACCTTTCCCTGGCTTGAGGACGTAGACTCTTACATGCGCTCTTGGCCTACTACGCACTCATGGCCCACTGAGGCTGGACTGCATCTCGGAAGCCGCTCCCAGTGAGGCCAGGGGCCGATTACAACTGTTCATTTGGGCTTCAGCTTTTCTCGGCAGATTCTACGCTGTGGATTTGGCTGAGAAGTGCTTTTTTGGTACTACTTTTTGACCAATCTCTTGTACTGATCTTCAGCTGCTGTTCGGGAGGGGTTGTGGATCGCTTCCAGATGAACGTCTGCCATTATGTGAGCTATAGTTTAAACTATTTCAAAAAAAGGTTATGTGGCGTTGGTAGCTCATATGAGCATGGCTTTGGTTTTCTGATGCCTGAGGTGCTGCCTCGGGTCCTGGAGGCGCGTTTCTACAAGTCACTCGTCAGATTCCAATGTCCTGTTTGGTCTGGCGCAGGTGGCCGACCGTTTCGGCCTGACGGCGCTGAAAAAGCCACGCTTCCTTGTACCATTTTGTTCCGTTTAGCCTGGAACGCTCAGTTACTGGCTCAATAGTTCCCTTAACTACCGACATCGAAGGGTTTCGAAGAGCCCTTTCTCAGGTGCCGCAAGAATATAGTCAACTACAGTCAGGCCAGCGTGGCAGCAACCCAGGTATCCCCGCATGGACCCCCTTGCAGTTGCCCGCAAGACCCTTCAGCACAAGTAGCACGTGAAGCCCTTGAAATAGCAGTGCAGCCCATGACTCAAGCCAGCGGGAGCATGCTTGCTTTGAATGCTTTGATTTATTCTTGACTTCTGGCTCAACATCGTTTTGGAGCTGACAGGCGGCTTCCTACGCAACCCACCAGTGGTTCCAGAGACCTCGACATGTCGTGTTTTCAGGGCTTGGAGCCCTTCATCCACGTCGCCGAGATGCTGCTCGGTTTTAAGGATTTACGTGGATGATTTTGCCGAGCTGCCAGCAAAGGTTATCTTTGGCCGGGCGACGCCTGGCGGTCCAGGCGCAGCAGCTGCAGCCCAAAGCTGGCTGTTCAGCGCTCAGGGCATTAGATCGCGGCATCGTGGCCGCGAAAAAACAACCAGCAAGACTGCGGTGGACTCAGGCAACCTGATCGCCAGCGCCATCTCGGGTGGTCTTGTGCTGCTGGCTCGCCTTGAATCTAAGCTTTCCCCAAGGGTCCTCCGTTGCATGCCGAAGGACCTATGTCATACGTTATGCATCACTATGCCCACCAGTCGCGGATTCGGGATCGCCGTTGGAATCTCATGACAGGTCGCACTTGCTGCCGCTGCCACCAGTGCAGCCGCAAGCTTAGATTTGGGCCCTGCGCGGAATGGAGGCGGTCTGGTGGCAGAGTCATTGACGCTTGGCGCTGCTTGCAACCTGAGGCCATGTGCCTTCCTGGTTGGCGCGACTTGCCAAGAATTATGCAGCGAATTTGAAGGATGCCTTTTGGCATGATCCGAGCATGGTAAGACTGCAGAGAGTTGTGCTGCCATCAGAGAGGAGATGTGAGAGGTTCTGCTGGCAGGCGTTTTGCCAGTGGGAGGAGATGGCAATTGTCTGTTTCGATCCGTCGCGCAAGGCAGGGGAACGCGGATGCGGGATGCAGCCAAATGTGCGCAGCAGACCTCTGGTGCAGGCGAGTCAGCCGCAGAAACTCGGCGCACGCTCAGCCGAGCGGCAGAAAACAAGCGAAGCGAGGCCACCGGGGCCGGATCCATGTTTTTTCGCTTCCGTATCTTCCGTGTTCATGCACCATGCTGGTCAGGAGCTTCGAGCACTTGCGTTGGAGGAGCTCATCAAGCGGCGGGAGGTGCGGCGGGGTGCAACTCGTGTTTGCTCTGTGCAAATGCCAGCTGGGCACGCTTGGCAGGACATCGGCTGGATCGTCGAAGGCGACTTTGACGAGTACGTTGCAAGGCCGCGGATGCCCCGCTCACCTGGCTCCTAAGACTTAGCTGTGCGAAGACTGTTGAACACTTGCAGGATGGCTCGGCCCGGCACTTGGGGCGGAGAGCCGGAGCTACTGATGCTCTCCCAGCACGTGCTGGAGATGCCGCTGGAGGCCAAGGGCTCAGCTCGAGCATCGACCTCCGTGGCAGGGCCTGCAGCGTTGCTTTTCTCACACGCTGCTCGTTCAGGTGTATTTAGTGGAGGATGGGCAGTTCAGGCACCTCCTGACATACTCCCAGGCACGAATCGCGAGAGCCTTGCTGCGCCCTTGCACCCGCCGCTCGGGACCGCAGGAGCTACCGGGAGAGGCCATTCGGGTGCTGTTCCACGGCCAAGGGCACTACGAGGCCCTGCTGCGTGTGTGAGGCCAAGGTGCCTTACCTTCACGCTGTTTCACGAATTTTTCCTGGGGTGAGTTGCAGCCAAGCCTCTAGGTTTGGGGGGAAGGACTACACCCTCATAAAACCTGGGAGACAGCTTTTCTCAGTGAATGCAAAGCCCCGCCAAACCTCTAGATAAAGCGCTTTGTGATTCGACTATGCCCTTACTGCACCCTTAGATGAGTCTGGTTGTCTACAAAGCCCCAGCCATGGTGCGCGACTGGGGGCTTCCCAGAGTAGCTGCGGCATGTCATGGCATATCGCTTCCGACAACTTCAGCAAAATGTCTGTGCCAAACATGCTAGGCAACAGCTCTGAAGGTTCTCTATGCGTTTCTTAAGTTGGTAGGTTCTGTATGTTTTGCCATGGACACTCTGGGCCAGAACTCAATGTTGAACCCAACAGCATTTGCCACCTCGAACCCTGCCTGCGGTGATGATTCGGGACCTAGTCGTAGTCGCTTTGACTTGTTTGTGATAGTGTGCCTGCCGGTTCGCGAGCTCCGTAAGGCGACCTAAAGTTGTGGGAAGAAAAGGGCGTTGCCTGCTGTGTCAACTGGTTATTCCTTGATTTGAGCGGCCCGAGAGTTGAACAGGGTGTGTCTGCAAGCTGAGGGGAAGCCCAACAATGAACAGAAGCATTTTGTTTTTGTGAGATCACACCACAGACATCCACAGACCCTTTGAATGCAGCAATGCCGCGCTGAGCCGCAAAGATAGCTGCTCCTTGGTTGAACTCACCATGTTCAGGTTCCAAGACTTTGGTCGTCACAGACTCGCTGATCTCTATCCCGGAGGAGTGTGGGGTAAGCAGCAATCCAAAGCAAGTCGGGGGCGTTGTTAGCAGCAGACATCGGTGGGCGCCCTCAACCCAAATGTACCCAGCAGGCCAGAATGACATCCAACTCAATCTTCAGGAGACTCAAGTGACAAGCAGGGCCAAGATCGGGACAAATGGGGGCATGATGCGATAGGCCTTTGACTCAGGGCGAAATATGATCCTTTCACAGTTGTTGTCGGATGGGCTCTTCTGGCCCATGACAAGGTAAACCTGACCGGTGGGCTTGCAGCCCTCGACATGAAATTTGGATAAACAGCTCAAATTGCAGAATGCACGCAGCACGTCTCAGCATGTTATGTTCTGATTTCTTGCAGGATCCTCCCCCACTGCTACTGGATCCTGAATATCGGAAGGCCTTGGCTTATCATGCTGGGCAGCTCAGAAGGTATGTAAGTGCAGTAAATTTGTGCATGTCATTTACTCATTGGCTGAGGCCCGCGATGATGAGGGTAGTCTGGTGCTGGATGCTGATGCCCAGCGCCGCGGCTGGGCCCGAATCTCCTTGCTTCTCGGCTACAGCAACACCGGCCAATTTCAGTCAGAAGTCAGGCCTCTGTGCTAGCAGCTGCTTGCAGGTTTGCAACATTCTTTAACCCCGGCGCGCTGGCAGAAGGCGAGGTGCAAGTTCCTGAGGCGCGGAGTTTTCGTTTGGGAAAGGGCGGTCCTTTATCAGATGCCGTGGACGCTGCAGCATCTCTCCAGGCATCTGCCAAGCGCCCCTGGCGATGGCAGCCTGGATGGCAGGTTCGTACACACTGAGCTTCTGAAGCTTGCTGTGAAGCTGATGCAAGACCATTCCAGCATTCTGCACTCGAATAGGAAAGCTTCCGACGACTTCGCAATGATGGGAGCCCAGACAGCAAGGATTTTTTTAGGGCTTCTGGTTGCAGGTACAGGGCCGCAAGAACTGATCAAACCTCGGAATTGTGGCATAGCGTTCGCCTCTTTATGTCCCAAGGAAGCCGCTAGTGGCACCCATCATCAGGGAGCTCATCCTCAAGCAGCAGCCGGAAAAGACCAAGGCCTATGTTGAGCCCCGGCCTTCAACCTGAGAAGAGCTCCTGTCCGAAGTCGCCTGATCTTCTCAAGCCTGCCACTGCTTAGGACAGGATCTGCTCCTGGGGCTTTGTCCGCGCTGTTTCTGCGCACTTTGACTGTCCGATCAAGATCTCTCCCAAACAGTTCCGGGAGACCTTCTCCTTCGCGAGCGGTTCTGGCGCGGGCAACCTCAGGTCACCCAGCTGCAGGAAGCTCTAGGTGTGTTGCCACACAATGATTTCTGGTCGGAGAGATTTGGTTCGCAAGAGTCAGGTACTGCGCTGAAGATGTTGCCTTCCTGGGTGATTTGCAGCAATCTGCCATTCCAGATGGGCAGCCAGTGAGGGCGGAAGGACCCTGCGGCTACAAGTCAAAGCCACGGGGATAGCTTGACAGCGAGACAAAATTGTTGGACTTCAACTTGCTGCGAAGAGTGCAGGCATATGATTGCAACATGCAGGCAGCTAATGTTTCTTATAATCCCTATATCACCTCTACATAATCCCTATAATCCCCATAGTTCCACTTTCTTTTCCATTATCCAAATATAACCCCAATATTCTATATTACTACATAACCCCAATATATGCCCTATATAACCCATTAAACTAGTTTTCATTTTCTTTTCCATTATGCCTGCATTTAACCCCAACCCTAATTGTTCGACAGGCCAGCTTCATCCTGTCCCACTCGGATGTAGAGCGGTGCCGACGGGTGTTTCTGGCGCCACAGTTTAGGCTTTAGGGTTTAGGGTCTCTTTGCTTGGTATCTGAGCTCAGCATGCAGGACCAATCTTTACCACTAGGACCGTCTGGCCTTGACGGAATTACACATGCTGCTCAAACAAACGCGGCAGGTGGCATGACCAGGCCCTGCCGGTATTGACTTTCCAGCGCGGAAAGGCCCCATTTCTCTTGATTCACCAGTTTCTTGCAGCCTGGCTGCTGAACTTAGTTGCAAAAGGAGGGCAATTACTTAGTTACTTCCAACCTTGCAAGGCGACCCGGCGCGTGATTCGAACCCCAATGTCCGAAGCCGAATCATGCTAAATGCGGACTACACAGATGATTTATTGAAATTCCCGTTCTGTTTGGTTCAATCTGCATAGCCCGAAGGTGGGAGCAACTTGATGGATCGTGGAGCCGCAAGGTCCACCGGGCTGTTGCAAATTGGCTTGATGCCTCTTGTCTTGTTCTCGAGTTTGCTATGTAAAGTCATGCGGCATGCAAGCAAACTGCCCACTTCGCGTGGCATCTGACTGGTGCACCCTTGCTGTGCTTGGCAAGCAGTGCTTTGAAGCTAGCGTTGGAGAACATTGGGCAGGTAGAGCACAATGTCCGCTTTGCAGACAGTGCCTGCCTCATGCATGTAGGGTCCCCAAGCATTCCATGCCTGGTGGGAAAGATGGCGACTGACAGCTGGTGTTGACTCTCTCTCTCTCTCCCTCTCTGTCTCTCTCTCTCCCTCTCTCTCTCTCTCTCTCTCTGTCCGTCTCTATGTGTGTATGTATCTGTATATATGTATATATATATATAGAGCCACATGCGCACGTATATATATATATATGTACACATATGTAGAGATATATTTGGCATTTCTGTAAAACCGGTATAAAACAATATATGATGCAGCTTCGAATGCTCGGACATTTGAGGGCCTCTCTGGTTGCTTGGCATGCGCAGCGCCATGCCTAGGCCACCGTTCATGGGATGCGAAAGTTGGCCGGCAGGCTTTTTGGCGAGGCCCGACTACAGTGCGGTTGTTGAATCGAAATTTGTTGTGTGTGTTCACTGGCCTGTAAGGAACGGACAGCGGCGTCCCGGCACAGGATGGTCTCAGCGCTGCGCAGGTTATTCTCAAAGCTACTGAAAAACTGGTAGTACTGATAGCAGAAACCGCCTGAAGTCCAGGCCACATCAAGTCATCTTTCTTGTCTGTTTAAATTACTCAGTGGACCATTCTTCGTACGAAAGCGCAATGACAGCGTAGGACTGCAATCCGGAGCTTTTCCGATCCTGCACTGCGGAAGCCTTAAAGGGTAAGAACACTGTTGCCTCGGGTTAAACTGGCACTCGGACGCGACATAGATGACAAGGTGCAAGGTCACGGGATGCCAGAGTGTCCGTCGGTCACGAATTTGTGTCCTTCAGTGACTCCGCGTGAGGTGGACAACTACACGGTGCGCTTCTTTCCACGCCGGGCCCTCAGGTGCTTGGTGCAAGCTGTGCACAGCAGCGCCTGCGGCCGATACTTGCTGACGCATCGTGATGTCAGCTCTTGCTTTCCAGCTGTCGTTTGCACCCTGCTGCCAGAAGCTGAAGCCAACATTGAAGCTCTTGGCACTCCGTCTCAGCAAGTGAGAGGGAAAGCCTTGGAGCCGTAGAGAGTGCAGAGCCGAGGCCTAAAGTTGGCGAGGATGGCTATGCAGATGCCGCACCGTGTGGATGCAGCCTTATCAGGCACTGCCGGTGGTTCTGCCTTACACATTGGTAGGAATAGCGTAGGAAGAGCTTGGAGCGGGGACTGGGGCCAGCCAAATTTGCAGGCACGATGCAGGCTAAGGTGAAAATTTGAGTATGGGCCTCCACTAGCTTGGCAAGGGGTTGTATTGGGTTGACCAGGGCAAGGTAGTCAGTCCTCAGCCAAAGGCAGTCCTGATGCTCCATGCAGGAGTGAAGATGCGTGCAGCAGCCATTGGACGCAACCTCAGGACAGGTCTGGCAGGTCATGGAGCAGATTCTTCCGAGTTGGGAAGCACAGATACTGACAACTGCAGCTCTGACAATTCTGACATGCCGAAGGAAAGCACACTTCCAACTTGCCACTTGCAACTGACATCAGCTGACCCAAGGCCTTGATGAAGTCTACAAGGAGCCCTTGCCTCAGTGCTTCATTTGAGGCAAAGACAACTTGATGTGCGGCCTACGTGCACCCGTCCCGCAAAGGCTGGGTTTGCTGCGGCCACCCTTAAAGGAGATCTCAATTGAGGCGCAACGGTTGGCAGCGGCAGCTTGTGGAGTTTTTATGATGAGATGCTGCAGACATTGTCGTAAGTGACAATGACAACAGACCGTACTGCAAAGAGGAACAGCTCCGGCGCCGTTTGCTGCTGGACCTGGATGGAAGTAGCCAGCCTTCAGCCCAGAGGTCAAAGCAAAGAGTGTTTTTAGATGCTTGAAGCTTTGCTTTACCCAAGGTCCACACGGCTGTATTGGGCGCGGTGCCCAGCTTTCTCGGTGTTCAGCCAAGTAACTATGGATCTTCACATGGTAGTGGTAGTTTCCCAAAATAAGGGAACTCAAATAGACACCCCAAAATACTGGGGAAAGGCACCGCTAGTTTTCAGAAACACCCACGTGCAGCTGGACACAGAATCCCTTGACAGCTTTGCCCTGCAACCTGATGAGCCAAGATTCCTAGGGTTTAGGGTTTAGGGTGTAGGGTTTAGGGTTCAGGGTTCGAAGCAGATCAAAGGTCAATTGGGGGTTTCCTAAAATTAGGGATAAGCTACCTTTCTGGGGGCCCCTAGAATAAGCACGATAGTATTTTGGGATCAACTCTGGGTTCCCCTTTTTGGCAGACTACCAATTCCACAGATTGCCTAATGGTGCGTGCAGCTAGCCTTGAATCATGCCTGCCAACATGGTCTGAACTTGACTTGATGTTTGCTGTTCACTGTAATAACACCAGTCCTCATCATAATCGTTTTACTCGTCATAATAGTACAAATAGTCATAATAGTAATAATAGTTATATAGTTATAAGAGTAATAACAGTAATAATAGTAATAATAGTCATGATCGTTATAATAGTCATAATAGTCATAATAATCATTTTTGGCTCAGGGCCTGCTGTCGAACTCGGTGGTTTTGAAGCAGGAGGGCAAGATCTCGGTGGCCAGCTTGTCTTGCAACAAACCATGTGAGCTATCGTCTAAACTCCTTAAAGGGGGTTATATAGGGGATAATGTGGGGAACTACTATAGGGCTTTTTAAGGGGGAGACTAGGAGTTTAGACTATAGCTCATGTAATTGCAAGCCACATCTGTGTTGTCGAGAGGACACGAAAAACTGCAACTGGTACTCAGATCGGCTTGGTCCTAAGCATGAAGCGCCTTACTACATACCCTGATCCCCTACAAACCCCAACATGTACCGAATACTAATATAGTAGTTTCCATTTTCCAGAGCCGGGGTCAAAATTACCGTTATTGTAGAGAAGTAATGGCGGTTCTTCAATTCAATGAGTAGAAGAGAGATGTTTAAACCACTGCAAA